ACGAAACAGTTTGTCACAGCCCCTCGTTTGTTGTCCTCTTCTCCCTCTCTGCCTACGGTTTACCGGGCAGTTCTATTTGACGATATATATATAGGCCACTTGTTTTGGTTTGGGTAGATTTCAATAGTGCCACGAATTCGAAAAATAATAACAAAGAGTACCGAGCCCAATAGCAGATTCTGCAGCAGGTACAGTTAATACGAATAAAGCAAATAATTGACCCATCATGTCATCTAGATGGACAGAAAAGACTATATATATCGTCAAACAGAGCTGCCCGGTAAACCGTAGGCAGAGAGGGAGAAGAGGACAACAAACGAGGGGCTATATCTTTGCAGACGAGAATGTTTTGATATCCTGGTTGGTCTCGTCCCGTCGTTTGGCCTGTGAGTTGGGGCGGTGCTTGCATGTGGGACTTGTCATCTGGGATTTGTTTTGTTGCCCCCTGTTCTGTATTATTTGGCTGTTCCCTTCCTCTTTTCTTTGTCTCTTTGCCTTCTGGCTGTGTGCAAGTGGGTCGATATGACACACGGGGGTGGGGGCAGCCGCCGCTCAACCTACATCCACCTGGGCGGCCTTGTACGCAAGAGGTTCTGAACAGGGAGAGTTGTAAGGAAGAAGATAAAAAATGAACTGATATCTTTTTTGTTTTCCTTTGTTTTTTCGCTTTTGCGCTCTGATATTTACGAGATGATATATACTCCGACGTTGCTAGCTCTCTGCTTTTGCTGATGATGCGGTGAGCGTCGGGCCTGTACTAGCAGGCTCTGTCTTTTCTTATGGAAGATAATGTTTTTTAATTTGTTAGTCTTCTCTTTAATCTTCCCTATTGATTGGGGTGTTGCGTTTTGCGGGCCTACTGAATGGTTCCGTTTTTTTTACTATGGATATGGTAGAATGTTTGTTTTGTGAATCTTGTCTGCTTTGATTCTGTTATTGGGCATCCTGGTTGGTTGTTTCTCGTTGTTCGACCTTTTGAGCGTGGGGCGGTGCTTGTATGTGGGAATCCGGGATTGTCTTCTCTTTCTTTTTGGTTGTCACACTGGGATCGGAGCCTTTCTTTTTGCTTTCTTTGCAGACAAGAATGTTTTGATACCCTGGTTGGTCTCGTCCTGTCGTTCGGCCTGTGAGTTGGGGCGGTGCTTGCATGTGGGACTTGGCATCTGGGATTTGTTTTGTTGCCCCTTGTTCTGTATTATTTGGCTGTTCCCGTCCTCTTTCCTTTGCCTCTTTGCCTTCTGGCTGTGTGCAAGTGGGTCGATATGACACACGGGGGTGGGGGCAGCCGCCGCTCAACCTACATCCACATTGGCGGCCTTGTACGCAAGAGGTTCTGAACAGGGGGAGTTGTAAGGAAGAAGATAAAAAATGAACTGATATCTTTTTTGTTTTCCTTCTCTCTGTGGTCGATTAGACGATTTAGAGGGTGGAAGAGTGAGGATCCACTAATGACCACAGAGATAGTAGCCCGACATTTCCCTCTCCTTCTCGGGGCTTCCCCTCGCCTCCAGGTCAGCAACAGTGTCCAAGAATGAGCCTGACAGGGCCAGATCACATCAGAGTGCCACATGGTACAGTTCTCCCGTGAAGACGTTCAGCAGCGCACAGTATCGATATCAACAGGTAAGTATCCTCTCTCTCTCAATCAATCCACAGATCCCGATCTCCCTCCTTGTTGCGTCCAACTCAGCAATGAAGACAGCATGGCAGATGCCATGTCAGCAATGTACACAGGTGGCATGCGGCACATCAGCAATGCCGAAGACAGTGGCATGCACCACGTCAGCAAGCAGAAGACAACTGGCGCCAGGACAGGAAGGCGCCTGCATGTGGAGAGCAGTCTCGCGTCGTCGTCGTACAGTGCCAGCGTCAAGCCAGCGTCTAACCAGCGTCAAGCCAGCGTCAAGTCAGCAGACTGAATGTTGACTCCCTGGAGGCAGGGCCTTATGTAGCATTTGACGAGGTAGACCTGCCTCAGGTCTCCCACCTACGGTGGCTCAGGTTGACTCACAGCCGACGGCCTGTATCCGTACAGCTCCATTTGGTCTGGATGCTGTCTGGATACCTGCATACAAACAAGTGTGTGTGTCTGACCGGCGGCCCGGGATGGTTCCACAAAGACTTTGATTGGAGGGCCTCGTACATTTGACTTTTGGTCAACTGTCGGGCGCAGCGTCCCTGAATCCAACAATTGGGGTCCTGCCTCTAAGCAGTGCGGCCTAGGGCCGACGTCGGGCCTGAGGCCCTTAGACAGGCTACGAGGCATATTGGAACAGGTTATTGCAAGCATATCCTTTGTCAGGACTGTTTTGATGGGATGGTCCATGCTAGCCGTCGTGCTGAATGCTGTGCTGGCGCAGCTCTCCTTGGGTATCCTTGTGAACATCCACGTCATCCTCAGCATGCCTGTCCTATCTGCCGCGGTGGGGGCTCCTCTTCCTGACTGTTCAATAGAATCAAGCAGGTCAGGAGCAACACTAATTGTAGGACAGATAAAGCTTTCGATACTACCAACAGATGCGGAGGTGAAGAAAGAAGAAAGAAAAAATTGGAAAAACGAAAAACAAAAAGAAAAAAAAGAAGAAAAGAAACAAATTGCTGAAAAAAAAATAAAAAAAATGTTGAACTTTGTTGTGACAGTGGCAATTGGTTTATCTGTGGGATGTGTCATTTGCTTTGTTTGAGTGATAGGCCTTCCTCTTCCCTTGTCCTTTCTTTGACTGGATCCCTTTCTCTTTCTCTTGCCTCTGTGAGGTTTGGTTTCCTCCTCCTTTTCTTTACCTCTTTGCCTTTTGGCTGCGTGCAATGACACACGGGGATGGGGGCAGCCAGCGCTCAACCTGTCATCCACGTGGCTCGCCTTGTACGTAAGAGGTGATGAACAGGCGAAGCTTTCCTTCTTTTCTTTTTTTGTTTTGTCTTTTTCTGCCTTTGTGCTCCGATTCACAGTGTGACAATATATATAAATGTATAGTATGCATATGTGAGTCCACAAAAGGACTACGGCTGTACCAGATTGTTTCGTCGCACTTTCGCCGAGTCATCAGGAGGCTGAACCTCCACAGTCTGCCCACGGTGCATTTGATGGATCAGGACTCACCACGTCGCCAAGAGTTAGCGATACCCTTGAGAAAAGTGGTAGACTTTACTCACACCAACCCTACAATCCTAGCAGACTGTCCGCCCAAACCCCTGACAAGATGTCTGAGAAACTAATATGTCACACCCATAAAACCCACCCTGTGCTTGTGTGTGTGTGTGTGTGTGTGTGTGAGAGAGAGAGAGAGAGAGAGAGAGAGAGAGAGAGAGATGGGGGGTGGGGACGGGCTGAAGAGATGACTGTATGTTGTGGCTTCTGCAGGATGGTGAGTCGGGCTGGAGCAGTCTGCACAGGGCGCTTCATTTTGGGCACTTGGCAGCCGCCGGTGTTCTCATTGCTGTGGGAGCCTCCCTGATGGTTGAGGATTCTAAAGGAAGAACGCCTCTGGACCTGCTGTCTGTGCCTTTCAGGGACTCATCATTAGCAGCAGGTGCACTTCGTTTTCCTTCATCATCTTTCCCTGCCTTTTCCAATTTCTCTGTGTCTCGGTTGGATCCTATGTTCTTTTTCTCGTAAGAGGCTCTGTTGTAGCTACGTACGCACGGAGCGCGGATGGGGAATTGACAAGCTGCCGCTGCTTATGATAACTGAAAGGCCATCATTTTTCTCCGATTACTTATCATGGCCGTGAAAAGGCGTTTTCCTCGGTTTTCAGCAAGGACAAAGTTTCAAAAGAATAACCAATGATGGGGGAACTGGTCTGGACGATGGTGATGATGGGGTGCGGTATTCGGGCTTCTGCTGCCACGATGCACAATCGGTGTTAAGTTGTATGCCGTCACTGGGACTGTGCTAGGAAAGTAAATACTATGTTATTTATATCCCGGGCACGTTCTCTTAAGATAACACAACAGTGGGTATGCACTCTAGTGTCATGTGGGCGATCGTGATTGGCGATGCCGATATAGCCACACTGCGACTGGGCTATGAATGTATGTATTTTAATACGAGTACATTCTTTCAAGGAATCCAACGGTGAGTAATGCCGTACGAGCATTTTCCAAGTATCAACTAGTGCAAATTTCGATCAGGCCCCACTTGCGTTGTATCGTATGTTTTGCGAGTCCGTTTTTTCTTAACGGACGAGGACCATTTTAAAGTAGCTTGCCATACGGCCTGGTCCAGCATTTGTGCCGGCCATAGAGTGTCGTAGGTGGAGATTACTACCCCTCCACTGGAATCGAAATCTTGGGAAGACACCTGGAGCCATTGGAACTGGAGATATAACCAGGTATTTCTCATTTCGCAGATGTACTCATCTATGCATGTTGATCGATTCCCGGGAACTGGGGTCCAAGGCCTATCGGAACAGACAAAATTATTAAGGGTAGAGAAAGATGAAAAATGGACTTTCGCTTGACTCTCTCTCTCTCTCTCTCTCTCTCTCTCTCTCTCTCTCCCTCTGTCTCTCTGTTTCACATTCTGCATTACACATGGGCCATTCCAGGCCCGGCGACAGGATCGAGGGGCTACCTAGGGCCTGGACACGGTAGTCCAGGCCGGTCCGGCCCAACGACCGGACCCCTTGTTTTCCCACAAGCCGCCCCGTAGGCCCTTGGACAGACCCAGGCGGGGACCGGTCCAAACGACATTACCGTTTGGACCTGGCGGCGGACTTTGAGGCTGCCCTCCCAGGGTCTGATCTGAACCGCAGATCGGACACGAAATCTGACGGTTCAGATCATGAGGCACTTTTGCAGCCTCAAGGCCGAACAGGCCACCGCCGGTACTTAGGACCCACTGGCGGCCTGTTCAGCACATTTTTACTTTGGGTCCACCATCTGGGAGCCGGCAGCAGAGAGCAGCGGAGCGCTGCGCTATTGGTTTCTCAGCGCAGCTCTAGACGGCAGCGCTAGGTGTAGCGCTGGCTGTGGAGAGAGAGCGAGGAGGGAGACTTACCTGACAGCAACCGCGAGTGCCATAGCTCCCAGCGGCACAGCCGTCTCCAACAGCAGCCAAGGCGCCACCTTTCATCATCAGGTAGGGCCTAGGGCTACTCACCATCTCCACTGATGCTCTGCCCCTCTCAGGTCTTCTTCTTCTTCTTCTTCTTCTTCTTCTTCTTCACCAGACCCCTTCTTCCTCTTCTTCAGATGAGAGACTTTGGGTACGAGATGGACAGAGATCAGTGGTTGGACTTCCGTGGTAGGAGGATGTGATACTTACCGGATTCGAGACATTGGAGATATTTGGGATTGATACCTGGCGGCATCACAGATCGGATGTAACAGTTTGGGATTGATACCTGGCGGAATCACAGATCGGACATCGGTTACATTAGGATTCTGTACCTCCGACATTGGTGACTAATGTTAACGACATTCTGATTTTGTTTGGTGACATTTTGGGCTATTAGATCAGTGAAATTCTGGATTCTATTTCGGTGACATCTGGCGCTGTCCCTATCTCCCACCTCCATCGTCTCTCCTCCGACCATTCATCTGTGTATGGGTGTACGGGGCTGAAGCATTGTCTATGTATGGCTTCAGACCCCACCATCTCACGATTGTTTGTGTGTTGAGTGATGTCTAGGTGAGTTCAGTCTATGTGAGTCAGTCCATATCTCAGACTTCCGCTGCATATATGCTCATCCTATATTGGTTGATCTTTGGTTCTGCCCGTACTTGGTGAATGTATTCACTAGTATGTAACAGTTTGGTATCGGAGCAGACCAATTAAGTGGGTCTGCTCACAGGGTAATTCTGATTAGGGAATCGATTGCTTAATTAACATTGTCTTTTTCCGAATTAGTTCTGCATTGCTATTGAAGATTCAAGTTGCAAGATTCTATTTTTAATTCGGTATTGAATTAGGATTGCGGTAAGTTTTTCGGTTTTCCGCGTTGGAGGAAAATTCGTGTTTTCTGGAACCATAAATCGGAAATTCTGCAAAATCACAGAAAATTAGGGTTGAGGTCCACAATTTTCGCGAAACTTCTTTTTCCCCTAATTGTTGAAAATTCTGAAAGTGGACTTTGGCCTTCTGAAAATCGGACTATTTTAGGTTGAAATTCCGGAAGTTTCACGTTTTTTTCGAAAATTCGAGTGTTTTTCCTTTCTCCTAATTGTCCGATTTTTTTTTTTCCGTTTGGCAGACTGTCCGAAATCGTTTATCCCCAGAACTGCAACTTTCGGGCAGTTCACCAACAACGGTGAACTCCCGGACCATAGGTGATCTCAACGGACACCTGATCTGCCGACAATTTAAATTTCGTATTTTAAATCATTATTTATTCTTATTCCTTATTATTTATTTATTATTTTCGAAATTAAATTGTTCGGGGGGAAAAGATCATCTTTTTCTTTTGATTAGGAGTCCAGTTCACATTGGGACAGGGGACTGTATGTTGATTGTCTGTTGTGTTCTACCCCTGCTCCCACCCTCCCTGCCCTCCCCGTGTCTGTGACCACCGAGATCTCTACCACATCAGCCCGTGCTGATGTCGAGGGAACAGGACACCGGGGCACTGCCACGACGCAGTGCCAGGATCGCAGTTTGTAGCCACTCTGTGCTACCTCCACGGCCTAAGTATCAGAAACAACCACTCAGCAGGAGAACGACTCCAGGGGCATCCAGTACCAATGCAGCAGCTGCAGTACCGGTCACCACAGGGGTCCTTCCCGCCTGTCCGGTCCAAGGGGACCACGAGACTTTGGCAGCTTACCTTCAGCGGGTGCAGGCATTCATTGATGCCGTCGCCACAGCAAAGGCACAGCAAGAGGCAGCAGCAGCAGAACGCTTGCCAATGAGGCGGCAGCCCAAGCTCAGCGAATTGCTGAGGCTGACGCAACTGCTCGAGAGAAGCGGAACCCCACCAGCGCTGAGTCCTTTATTCGGAACGAGAGTCAGTGGACAGCACTACTCCAAGGCATGACCTTTGTGCCTACAGACGAGTGGCCGGATCCGACACCGGTGGAGGCGGAAAGGAGTATCCTGGCTAACCTAATGCTGTGTATGATGAGGGCGGTAATGTGGAACAACACCATGCAGACAGTGCACGCACAAGCTGGACGGCAGCTGAGACAGGCTCAGCAGAGAGAGTCTTCAGCTTTGACAGCCGCCATCCGCGCAGCAGCACAACATCAGCAACAACAGCAACAGTCCGCCATCACACGTGTCAACAGCATTGAGGCTATGTCCTCAGCAGCGCCAGGCTGCATGACGGACACGGTGAAGCAGATCGGAGAGCGCATCGACCATGTCATCAACATCATCGGCGACCTGGGTCACTTTACCAGTCCGGGCGCCACCCTTTAACATCGGCAAGTTTGATGACTACAACAAAACGGACACTTTGGCATGGTGGCAAACCATCATCACCGAAGCAGCCTGCCACCACGTGCCGGATGATCTGATGATGACAACACTCTACCTCCAACTCAATGGAGGAGCACATGCTTTCATAAACCACACAGCGGCCAATCTGGGGTGCACCATCACCAAACTGCACACGTACATCACGTGGGAGCAGTTCGAGCAAATGTGGCAACGTAGTAAAGGCGGCCATGAACGACGTTTACTCCAGCTCGCAAGGGAACATGTCAACACGAGACTGGACGATCAAGTGGCAGAAGATAGTAACCACTCCTGGTTCCGACTTAAGTTTCCCAAACCTGCGATCCAAATTCTTTTCGCGATCGTGCGCAGGACTGCGGTCAACACTCGGTAACGAGTACGACTATGCCTCATTCAAGGCCATCCTTGACCGTGCTAACCTGGTCATCCAAACGGATGACAAGGCCGCCAATGAAAGGCAGTCCTGACCGCAATATGTGGCTAAGCATGGCTACCAAAGGCCGATGCATAACAATGTGGTGATCGCCGACGGATCACCTGATCTCCACGCTGCTGCAGCCTCCTCGAGTGATGGAGGAGTTGTGGCAGTGCTCCCGCCGAAGCGTCCTAAAAGGGTTCGGAAGAACAAGGCGACACAAGGGCCGACAGCGACGGAGACTGGGCAGCAACCATGGACGGCATACAACATCACCAAGGAAGTATTTGAACTTCGACAACGGTATGGGTATTGCTTTTGGTGCAACAGTGTAAACCACACTACCGCACAATCCCCGGACAAGGGCAAGGCAAAGGTACCCTGTCCAGCTAACTCGGGAAACTGAGTTGCGCACGGAGAGGGGCGACGCCTCTCCACACTCCTCCGGAGCTGGTTGCCTTGCTAACAACCGAAATCACTGCCGGGGAGCATGCGTTAGTCGCTGATTCTCGTGACACATACGAGGATTATGCCGCCCAGCTGGTGCCACCATTGGACCAGCCTAGCCACGTGCACTTAGATAGCGTATGTGTAACTTGTACACCGTCGGCAAGAGAATCGTTCAGTTCGCCACTTATTTCGAGGACTCGACGGCGTGGTCAAGGCTTGAAGACCTCGACCCGCTCACGAGAGAGGACTTCTCTTGGATGCCTCTATCC